AAGAATTACATGTTTTTATGCGTTGTAATTTGTTATTAGTAACTTATTTTTTCTCAAAAAAAAAGTAACTTATTTTTTTGCACGTGTAGTGTTTTTTTTTTTTTTGCACGTCTCTTTTAGTTTTTTCTTTATAATCATTTTTTTAATTTAATAGCATATGGGATTTGATATTGAAGTTTTAACTTTTGAAACATAGTTAGAATGAAATTTAAAGAAGTGATTCTAAAAATAAACTAAAAAGATAATCGTGCAGGAAAAAAAAAGGAAAAAAAAAACACAAGACGTGCAAGAAAATTAATGAAATTTTTCTTAATAAATTATTTTAAGAATTTAAAAATCAAAAGTTTTAACTTTTATCTTTTCCACTCTAACCTTTTATTTTTATCCAACTAACCACTTTTTAAAATTAGAAATTTTTGTATTTTTGAATTTTCATCTTTCAAATCTCTTAATTTACCTTTTTTTTATCTCATGAAATATTCAAAACTTATTTTATTGTACCTTATCTATATTTATTAGGTAAAAGAAAATCAAAATAATGAATATATTCCAAAAAAATAAAAACTTCCATCTGCAACAGCTACCGCAACCACCAACATTTTGATCTTCACCCAAAATTTAAAAATAACAGCACCACTTTAATATATATAGATATATATATATATATTCTCACCACTTCTCCAACCATCAAAAACCACAACTTCTCTGATAATTTGATGATTTTTGTAGTTAAATGGTGAATATCGGTCCCTTACCTTGATGCCTACATCTCAATTTGTTTTTCAGTGATGGCAAGAATCCTCGAAATACTGCTTTTTCTTCTATAAAATATATCTTTTGTTTTGATTTTTTTAACGACGTAAAAAATATGGATAAGATAAAATCACATATGATTTTGAATTTGAAGTAAATAGGGTAAAATTAAAAGGATGGTGGGCCAAAAGTTAAAATTTGGCTCAATTGGAAAATAAATTTTTTTTTAAAAAGAAGTGGGGAAAATTGATCATTTATAAAATATTCAAGAAAATTAGTAACTTTTCTTTCGTAAAAATAATTTTTAAAAAATCATATTTCACCATAATGTTGGCCGGATCCAGCAAATTAAACCAATTTTTAACCTAAAAAAACTTTCAGTACTAATTTGTTCACATAAAAAATAATATGGACGAAAATAAAATTGAAAAATACTTTAGAGGGTAAAAAGTTCATACGCCCTTCGATACAAGGAAATTATTTATAGAGTTAGATTCATTCCAAACTATCGACATTATGATGCACAAATTCATGCAGAAAATTTCAGTGAGAGTATTTATCTTCGGGTAACGATATTGTCAGAGCAGTTTTTAGCCTCCAAAGCAAATTTTATATTCGTTTCCAAAATTGCCCTTAATGTGATAAAGAAAAACTATCTTCCATGATCTTTCTCATATTTTGGCACTCTCTCTGTCGTCACATCTCCCTTCCTCACCAATATTTCAACACTCTCTCCAATTGTTGTAAATCAAAACAGTTTTGGTTTTCCTTTAATTATTTGTTATTGGCTTGGTCCCTAATTCTTCCCCTAACCTGCTGTCGTGCTCTTTAAATTTGATTTTGGTCGTGGTAAGCAAAGAAAAAATTGAGTTCTAATGTATAGTCTGGGTAAGCCTCTTACTTCAATTCGAATTGGTCCTCCATTGAATCCTGGAACTTTATTTGATTCTTTTTATTATTGTTTTGTGGGAGATTAGAATTAGTTTTGAGGAAAAATGTATAATAGCCATCGAAATCGACTTGCCGGCTGATTTTGAGAACATTGGTGCTAGTTACCAGGACTTATTATATACAATCAGTTCGTGAAAATCATGAACGAATTGAGTCTTATCTCTAAAACATCTATATATCAAGGACGACCTCTTCTCCAGAGATGAATGAATCATTCATTGGATGTACCACCAATTCAGCTTGAAAGTAAATGCCAAAAGTACATCTCGGGTAGGTTTTAATTGTATTCTCTTTTCATTGAGATCTATTTGATGACAATTAGTGTTTTGTCAAATTGTCATCTAGGAGACATAAGTTTTGTTTATGAAAAAACATAATCGAAATTGGAGGAGGAGTAATTGGCAATCGGAAGAAGACATGTATTGTTCCTTGAGAAAAAATAACCGAAGCTGGAGGAGGACGGATTGACAATCAGGAGAGGAATTGACAGAGAGATAACGATGGACCTCATCAAGGGTAAATTTGGTAAGAACATAATATTTGCTCTGAATGTTAAAAAAATGCTCTGGTAATATCAACGACCTTTATCTTTTCTTTAAAATAATTTTTGAACGTTCTGACCAAGTTCTGATTGTACCTACAAATTTTACTATCGGCATTTTTATCTAAAAATTTCACATGAATTTGAAATTTTTTCTTTTCTTCTCAACATATATATTTTTTCTTTGTGTAGTAAAACTTATAAAAGTTCACTCAAATAAAAAGTTCTTACAATTACGTGAATACATTATACACGTAGCAAACACTATGAATTTATTCAGAAGAAAAAAGAAAAAAATTTTAAAAAATTATAATGAAGAAGACATAAAATTCCACTACCACCATAGTCAATTTTGTCTAGAGCAATTTTAGATGATAGATTCAACGCAAAATTTTTTAAAATATTTTAATTTATGTTTTCCAATGAGGCATAGTAAAGAACTACACTTCATTTTTTAAGTTCTGAATTTTGAAGTTCAATGCAAATTAAGTGTTATAAATTGCATAGTTTATTATTGAGTTGATTATAGTTATGAGAGATCGCTATCCTTATTAATCAAGGGAAAAGGACAATATGCTCCTGAATTATGTTCCAAAGACTAATACCCTTTAAATTTTTTCAAAAGGACAAAAACTCTTCCTGACTGCCTTAAACTCAAAGTCAACCGTCCAAAGATGTAAAAAGATGAAAAAATCGTGATAACTAATCTTTTCAGCAACTAAAATAAAAAGATTAAATTGAGAAAACTAATAACTCTAATCATATCTCCATGGAACTCCTACTACTTCCCTCACCATACATGCAATAAGATACACATACAATTACTTATCTCACCTTATAATTAAATTGGTATTTTTTTTTTAATCTTTTGATGAAAAAACCAAATCTTGAAATGCAAGATAGTCTTTAACAAACAGTAAGAGATTTCTCTAGATATATGAAATTATGTGAGAATATTGGAAGTGGAAGAGGAAAAGAAAGTGGTGAAAGGATTTTTAAAAAATAGTTATAAGGGATTTTTTTTTGATAATTAAGATTTTTTTATTATTATAATTGTAAGGTGCATTTTTTGACTTTATACACTTTAATTTTCTTACATCATAGGCAATTTCTCACTGAAAATGGTGCATAAGGGCTATTTTGTCTATTGACTGGCGATTAGGGGGTTTGTCTTTTTGAAAAAAAAAATTTGAGGGAGTATTAGTCTTTGGGACATAATTCGGAGGTAAATTGTTCTTATCCTATCAATTAATAATATTTCATGACCTACAATACTCTATTCACACGAGACATATAAAAATAAAAATTTTAAAGTCGAATATAATTAATTATGTGCAACGCACCAAGTTAACACTAGTGCTGAGTAATATATCCCTTTTACCATGTTAAAGCAAAATACATGATGTTGATGTGACAACTTCTTATTAAAAATTTTTGGCTCCAAATGCACCATATTACATAAACCATTTTGCCATGTGTCATTCTCTTTCTAAAACAAAAAAAAAAAACTTATTTATGGATAAAAAACTTCTAAAACACACTTTCGGATTACATTAAATTCCTACAAATTAGTGAAAATTAAAATTCAAAGCCCTTAGTTAAATTCCTTCCCAACTGCTGAACACTCCCATTTCCACAGAAGGCATCGCATCCAAAAAATCGACATATTCAACCATAGCTTCAATTTCCTTTCAAATCTCATAAATAACTCTGACTAAAATTTTGCTTCAAATTCATATCAAAAGATTTCAAATTAAAAATTTTGCTCCCATGTCTCCAGGCGAACAAAAAACCAAAAACTTTAATGAAATTTATTGTTGTTATGATCTTTATTTTTGATTTCTCATAATTTGATTCTTATATTACTTTTATTAGTTTAGAAGATCCTTTTTTTATATAATCAATTAAAAGATCCTAAAATTTAGATGATAATTTCAAATATATATCTTTTCAATCTCATCTAACATTAAATCCACTTATAGATATAATTATTATTTATATCATTACACATTATAATTAAAAAAATATATATAATCACATACGTATTTCACTTACATTAGAATTTCCATTTCTATTTGCAAAAAAATTACTTATAACGGAAGGGCCGCCCGGGTAGATCTAGTTATCATTAAGGCAGGCCAAAGAAAGGCATAGCCTATCGAGACTTAGCAAGAGTAGGAACTTAATTAATTGCAATATAGTTTGTATAAATATAGATATAAACTAATGTCATGCATGCAGAAAAATGTGTCCCAAAAGAAAACAAAACGAGCCATGCATAAACAAGTTTCCAAACGTGGGGGACAAAAGGTGTAAAAGTACAGAAAGACAAAGGCGTGGAGCCGGAGAAGAAGAGTAAAAATAACCACCTTCCAAATTATAATCATCGGAAAACCCATGCTCTCTTCTTTTGGAGAAAGCTTTAAGAAAATAAAAGAAACAGTAAAAAAATTGCTAACACATATGCAAATTATGAGCTCGCACAGACACCTTTTTACCAACCAATTTTAAAATTGTCCATTTTAATTTATGCCTTAGGTTTCAATAATTGAGGCCTTAATTAGTCTCGAAATTACAAAGTGTTCTCGATACGTGATGAATTTCGAGAATCCATCCTCAGTACGTATACTCCTGTTAAATTCCGAGAGTTTGAATCTTGCTAGTTATAAAAATGCTTGCATGATAATGCTAACATAAAAAAAATTGAACCACCAAAGAAAAAAATATATATATGATGATTTTATACATTATGATTGTCAATAAACTTACAAAGCTCGCTCCACCATCATTTGACAAAATTGGATCACAATTGTTTAGTGTAAAATATGATGGATGGAACTGGAAATATTGGAGCTAAAACTTAGAAACCATATATATATATATATAGTTGTGTGATCAAAATTCAAAAGTTCCTAATGTGCTCGATCTTCTTCTCTTCTTGTCTCCCCTGTCTCGTTCGCTTCACTCCAGAAGCTGGAAGAGTGTAAACTAAATTCTTGATCATATGAACTGAAATTTGTACGGATCATCACCGGTTATGAAGAGGATCAGAGACATCAGGAACTTCCCTTTTGCTTGAAGAAAACACGGCAGAAGCCACAGCCAGATTCTTCACATTTTGCTCCCCTGTTTCTTGAGTTTGCTCTGTTACTTTCTGCTGCATTTCTGGAATCATGAACGTCAATTTCCGGCTCATCCCGAAAACCATTGTAGTGTTCTTCTCTCCATTAACCAAGAAACACAGGATCGCCAAAAGTAACAGCTTTTGAATTAAACCCACTCTTCTAGACTTCTGAATTCTCATCAGGGTTCAAATTCTCTGGGTTATACTGTGTTTTTTGCTGATACTCACTTTGTGAATATATATGGTTTAAGGGCAAGAAGCAAAAGTGAAATGAAGGAGGAAAGTGAATTTGAGTTTTGATTTAGGCAAATGGGTTGTAAGATTGAGTACAAATGAAGATAGAAACTCAAAAAAAGGCACTGAATTATAGTCAATATTCAATATAGACTTGGCTGATGTTAATGAGTACAAATCCTGCAAATAAGGGACACAAAAAACGATGGAACTTTTTTGATGTAATTGCTTTATTATACAAGTTCTTTATGCTTCACGAGAGACCTTTTTACAGTTTTTTTTTTTATCTTTTTTATCTCTCGAAATTTTTTGCTACTTTTCATCATCTCCCTTTCAGTCCGTCCCCTTAAAACAAGGTCACACATTTTTGAGGTTTGTGGAGAGGAAATAGATGCTGATGAGTGATGAAACTCTGTTTGCTTTATCTTTGTCTTCACATTGTTTGTCGGCTTTGGAGGAAAAAAACCAGTCAAGTTTTCTACTTATAGCTTCTTCTGAATTTTGACCCAATTACTATCTTTCTTATTCCCAAAAGGAAATAAGATTTGAAAGATATAGAATCATCAAAAATCTATCTTTTGAGTTTTGAGGACTTCTTTTTCTGATCAGTACGTGATCATCACCTCTCTTCTGAAACAGCATTTTTGTCAATTGTCAATCTCTCATCATAAAGCATGCTTGGTAGTACTGATATTCCCTTTGGCCTTTCAGTCATTTGCATTCACTGTTTTTTGAATGGTCAATTTTTTCCCAAGCTTAAAGTGAGTGTATACATGAGTAAATTTGCATTCCCAATAACCTGTCTTTTGTACTACTAGTTCTTTGAGTTTTTTTTTTTTTATTTTCTTTTTTCTTTATTTTGGTTTGGTTCATTTAACGTTGTACTCAGTGTCAACATTAATGACTAATAATTCATTCGTTGAATTGTAAAACTCTTTAATCTTAATCTTAATCGTTTTGGAGGAATTGAGTAATATGATATGATGCGTAACTAGAAACACGCACAAAATAATTGGTTCTGTTCTTTTTTTTTTTTTTTTTTTCTAAGTTGAACTGTTCTCCGACAAACCTTTTTTTGCAGGAAATAGATATCATACAATTGGTTGGATATCATTTAACAGAAAAATCATAGCTCTCATCTACTAATCACCACAAATTTAGTCTCCTTTCAAGATAGAATCTTCTACATATACTTATCGAAGAAACTATTGTATCCAATGTTTTTCTTTTGTTTTTATTCATCTTTTCGTACTAATAACAGTTTATTGCCAATCTACAATTTTTGTCTTCGATACAGAAATCGACATGAATTTTCAATGTATACGCACCGCGTCGTAGAATGTTTTCGAGAAGATGAGAAGGATATGGTAATCATAATTGTATCACTTTAGTTAATATGTTATCTTGTTCAAATTCAGGATTATGAAGATGTGAGATCACATAGTCAATTGTTTCCAATTATCCAAACACACATTCTGGATCCTCCAAATATAAGCATTCTGAAGATGTCCATTACTGTGATTGTCTAGTCTCAATAAAAGGAGGACGTTGACTCCGCCAAGATCTCTTCATGAGTTGGGGGAAGAATCCGCATGAAGCGGATTTTTTGAAGAACGTATGGAGAGAGAATTGGATTTGGTTAGACAATGTGTGGTTGGTAAACAAGGATCGGTTTTTTTAGCAAGGTACGGAATGTATCGTCAAATATTCAATATGATTCTACAAAATCTAGTTTCGTTCAAGTAACGGATTCTAGCCAACTTAAAGGATCTTTTGATCAATCCAGAGATTTTGATGGGGGCCAAACTACTAATTATTAAACTTACTCTAAAATGTAGTACTCCCTTCTGTCCTTAATATAAGGTATTTTGATTTGTTCTAAGATTCACCTAACATGCATTTTTAACTGACAAAAAAACCTTTTAAAAAAAATTACACTTCCTTATGTTCTCTTAATTATTATGAAATATTTTTAAGATTTTTTTTTGTCATTTAAAATTTCATACTAGATGAAACTTAAAACAAATCAAAATGTCTTATATTAAGGACCGGAAGGAGATCGGAAAAAAAGGTCAACAAATATCAAGTTTATCAACAATGACACAAACAATGAGAGTAACAAATGAAATATAGACCTAAACCTAACGTTGTGATAGTGAAACAAATCATGATGCAAACTAGTTCAACTATTTATTTCCACTTCAACTGCCGAATCGACTCTAGACTAATAGTCGTGAATAAATGTTAGTCAGACTTAACTTTCTTCCAAAGTCATAATGATATCTTTAATGATTAATAACAGAGTTATATTCCTATAACTAAATTAATTATAAAATCATTAGGACTGGGTATCTCATATAGCCACTCATGCCTTACCAGTATTTTCCTATTTGACAAAAAATCATAAAGTTTTACGGTTATATCATGATTTATTCTTCTTAGAATTAAATTATACACTTTATTCCTAAAGAGGTAGTGATACATGCAGAAAAAAATTATAAGAAAAACTTACAACGAATAATTTGGCAATCATCAAATGAAAAGTGCTAAAAATAAATGGGTATGATCAATTCCTTATTATTTTCCTTGTTATTTTTTTCATGTACATATCATTATTCATTCCTAAATATGCATAATTTTCAAACACGCGATTAATTGGCCAAAATAATCCAATAGAATTAAAAATGGAAGAATAACTATTAATAGATTACCAATAAAAGTGATTTAAAAAATCATTCAGCAATATTGAAGTACCTTAAATAATTGAATAAAAAAAAACTACTCAAAAGACTATTAAATTTAGAAAGAAAAAAAAAACGTAAGTTTGGGCTAAGAGACAGCAGGTTGCTGCCTTCTACAAAGCTCCAGAAACCACAAAGCTCCGGAGTCCAGACTATCCCTTGTCTCTGCGTCTCCGCAACCATCCCCGGCCAACCCATAACATCTGCGGACGTTGGGTTTTTATAAAGAAAAGTAGGGCTGCTTTTTTAAAAATCTGGGCAACTCTTTAACTAGTTAACACAAAACCCAACTTCAATTGCTAAGCCTTAAAGTTTCCTTGTAGCATGTAAGTCCAACGTAAAGGCCCACTTGATTAATCCTTTTATCCGGATTATTTTGAGAAACAATTCATATATCTACATGTTACCCGCACGATGTGCGGGATAGATAAATTATATACAAATGTCACGGGCTTACTTTTTCAAAGTAACGGCCGTGCGGCACTAGCACAAAACAACTAACGATCAAGTCGCTAGCTCACCTTAAGACCCCAAAGCGTGCAAAGCTAGGCAAGACTTTAAAGAACGGAGGAAAGAAAAACTTAAGAAAGGTTGAAAGTGAAAGAATGATGAAGGCACAAGAGAGCTTAAGGAATGCTTGAGAACTCTACTCAAAGCTTGGATGATTACAAATGAAGGGGGCATGGGGTATTTATAGGCAAACCCCAAGTCCTAAAGAATTCTAGAGAATTCTATGTACATAATAAAATAATGGGATTCTAGAGAATTCCTACAATAAAATATTCTAAGTTCAAAATATCTACAAGTCTCTAGAATCTTCCACACGGTTCTAGCAAATTCGGGTAGCTTCCACACGGTTTCACTCGCTTCTAGAGAGTTCCGGCCTCTCTAGAAAATTCCGAGTCTTCAAGATTTGACTGGAGAATTCCACAAGGCTCTAGACCGTTCCGTCCCATGTCCGTCTACGAAAATAGCCCGTTTCGCATCAAACCACCCGAATTCGTGGTGAAGAAAACTGTCCGTGACATCCTCCCCACCAAAATGGTGCATCGCCCGATGCACCTAAGTCTCGAAGGCAATGTTGATAGGAATGGGTGCACGATTCTCCTCAAAGTCCTCGATCAATTTGGTGAATTGCCAAAGCTTCTCGATTGGCTCCCAACTCGTCTCACTCATTGGCAAATTCTTCCATTTCACCAAGTATTCTTTAGTTGCTGCCCGCTCCCGCCCGAACGATCCTCTTAGAAAGGATCTCCTCTGCGGTCCGTTCCTCATGCTCGCGTATGCCACTGGTGCCCTTGTGGAAACGTTCCGTTCTTCGTCCTCCGGGTCCTTGCGGTATGGCTTAAGTAGGCTCACATGAAAGACTGGATGAAGCCTTGAGAAGGCCTCGGGTAGCTCCACTTGTAAGCAACCGAACCCACTTTCTTAAGAACGGTGAAAGGACCCTCGTATCTGCGCATGAGACCCTTGTGTAGACCACGGCTCCGTCCATGCTCATAAAGCTTCACCAAGACTTGGTCGCCTTCTTCAAACTCGCGACGGGTCCGTTTCTTATCCGCCCATTTCTTCATGCGTGTGGCCGACTTCTCCAAGTAGAGTTTTGCCTCGTCGGCCCGTTCTTGCCAATCTTTGGCAAACTTGTATGCGGGTGGGCTATTGCCCTTGTAGCCCCCAAGAATGACCTTAGGCGTATTCGGTTGGAAACCAAGGATAATCTCAAACGGACTTTTGCCCGTGCTCTCACTCCGCATCAAGTTATAGGAAAATTGGGCAACGTCTAGCAAACGTACCCAATCTTTCTGGTTGGCTGCCACATAGTGCCTAAGGTACACCTCCAAGAGGCCGTTGATGCGCTCCGTCTGCCCATCCGTTTGCGGGTGCAAAGATGTAGACATCTTGAGCTCCGTCCCAAGCAAACGAAAGAGTTCTTGCCAAAAACGGCCGGTGAACCTTGAGTCCCTATCGCTTATGATCGATGTAGGCAGTCCCCAATACTTCACCACATGCCTAAGAAAGAGTTTGGCCGTTATCTCCGCGGTGCACTCTTTTGGGGTGGGTATGAAGACCGCATACTTAGACAAACGGTCTACCACAACAAGTATGTTGGTGCAACCCTCGGAAACGGGCAGGCTCACGATGAAATCCATCGAAACGCTGTCCCACGGGCGTTCCGGAATAGGCAAGGGTGATAACAAGCCATGCGGGTGGTCTTGCTCGGTCTTGTCTTGTTGGCAAACTAGACAAGTCCTTACATATGTCTCCACGTCTTCCCGCATGCGAGGCCAATAGAACCGTTCATGTACTAAGGCAAGTGTGCGATGCGTACCTGGGTGACCCGCATAACGGCTATCATGGCAATCCCTTAGAATCTCCCTTCTAAGTCCATCCCATGCGGGCACGTACAAACGGTTCCCTTTGGCATAAAGTATCCCATCCTCAAGCCAGAACCGCGTTGTCTTGCCTTCCTTCACGAGCTCCATGAACCTTT